TTTATATTTTTTTATAATGTTAAACAATTGTTTTTAATCATTTTCATGCACAAATAATATATTTTGTTATTTATCTATTATTTTTATAAATTATTATTTATTAAAATCAGGTATTTAAAATCTGGCCCTAATTCTATAACTAATTCGGACCTAAAACTACCCAAACCAGCCCAAGCCCAATACCCCTAACCCAATTACCCCTACCCATTCATTAAACCCAACCCCAATTCGCCTAAATCCTGGCCGTTGATAAAAAATGATCAACGAACCATAACTAACGACCCCCTTCCCTTATATCCCTCCTCTCTACCCTAATCCTCACTTTTCTAAAACCTCCGCTCTCATTTCCCCTCCCCTGTTGAACCCTAACGCTGTCGCCTCACCCAAATCCTCCCAAATCCCGGTCCTAACGGGATTCTTACCCTATTCCCTTACCATTTTAGGGTTCTTCCCTTATTTGGTGCTAGATTCTAGAATAGCTTAGGTACTTGCCAAAATATGGCAAGTACCCCGATTTAATTTCGTCCAAATTTATGTTTATCTTTTGAATCCGGACAAATCTCGAGTCCAAGTACGTTATTTGTGATGATTCTCTCATATGTCTCTTGACTCGCACTAAGCCCTAAAGGTTAGGGTTTCAAATCTTCTTTGATTTGAACCAAATATTTTGTTCAAACTTTGTTTTTTTTAAACATTTCTTCGTTTATATTTGCTCTATTACTTATGGGTCTGTTGACTTTTGTCGATTTTGTGACTTACCTAATTTAGGGTTTCAAACCCCTTTTACTTGAACCAAATCTAGTTCGATTATAAGTTTCCCTTTTTAAGTTCCTATATATATATTTATTTTGTGCTAATATGTGCTATTTTCCTTTATTCTTGCTGATTTTGTGTTTTACCCAAAATTAGGGTTTCAGTCCCTTTTTACTCGAACTAATCTAGTTCAATTTCATATCTCTTTTGAATAATCCCTGTATACGTTCATTTGTATGTGTTAATACATGATTCTTTGCTATTATTCTCTGCTAATTTCGGGGTTTACCTAATTTAGGGTTTTCAACCCTATTTATTTGAATCAAATCTGGCTCGATTGAGTATTCCTTTTACAATGATCTTTTGTCTGCCTGATGTGATTCGTTACCTTATTTCCTACTGATTTTGTGCATTTTTCACCTAAAACTTAGGGTTCAACCCTACTGATTTAAACACTAACCTCGGTATTTAAGTGAGGAATTCTTTAATGAAAGACACTATTCGAACCCCTCCCTACTCCCCTTTGAAATAAAGTTTAGAACTCAAATATTTTCACTCATAGCAATACTACTCTGTGCTTTTGATTCCTGGCCAACTGGAAGCCAAGGCCAGAAATCCTCAATTGTTTTGCTTCTGTTGGTAACAATTGCTACACTGTTGGATTCCTTTTTCCTGTTTCATCTTAACTGGTGAGTTTATTGAATCCTTTGCTATTCCATTATGATTACCTGCTTAATGTGTTACTGTTATCAAACCATGTTACCCCCAAATACTATTACCTGTATTTAAGACATGTTGAATTTAGTTTGAATCTGCCAAACTCTGTGTAATTTAGGGCTATTCTTTAGCCTTAAATGAATTCATACCTTTCCTAAGGACTGTTTAGTTATGTGTGCCTTAACAGTTTTGTTTATTGTGCTCACTATGTTATGATACCTTTGCTAAATTATTTAATCAGTTCCTAATACTAATTAGTGTGTTCCTGACCTACTGTTAATCAATGAGCTTTCTTTCTGTGACTTATTCTGATCTGCAGTCTTTGTTATCACTATAAACATGTTTATGAACTGGTCTTATTAGCATGTGACTGTGTTAACTTCTAAAAACTGAATTAAGTCCGCCTAGGTTCAAATGTGTTGATATTTTTTTGGGTTCTATGTGTGAGTCTGTACCCCCTAATCCCATCCCACTCTCCTGAATTCTCACTCTTTGCTGACTGAAAGCCAAAGCAATTTAGATTCTGTCCCTTGTCCTTCCTAGCGTGAGCACTGCTCAGGGTTCATATTAGACCCTCGTGAACTCTGACACACTAGGATTTGGTCCCTAGTCTTCTTTGAACTGCCCTGATCATTCTTCTTTGGTGTGAGCCATGCCCCGGGTTCTTGATGCCCTTGGGAACTCTGACACACTAGAGATTTGGGTTATGTATGGTTATCCTTGATATATGGGTGAATCATTCACTGTCGGTTACTGTGTATCTTTGAACATGGGCTTTTGGAGCTAGTGTGAGTTGAAGATCTGGCCTGTCTAGGTATATTTGGGACTACTGCAGGCTTCCTATAGTTTTTATACTTTGTAATTCATTCATTAATGTCACGACCCAAACCGATGGGCCGCGACGGGCACCCGGTACCTTACTCAACCGAGTACCAACGTAACGTATCTTTCTTATTACATCATCATATACACGTGACATACGGGCCTAATAGGCCAACATGATCATTTATAAACTCAAAACATAGGCCGACAAGGCTGTACAATCTTTCACGTACACGACATATATCTACAAGCCTCTAAGAGTACATAATTGTCATAATGGTCAGGACAAATCCCCGCCATACTAAGCCATACACATCTAAATCATACTGACCAAACAAGTAACTCCGGAGCAAATGGAGTGCACCAATATCTTCTACTGAGCTGATCGCCTACTTGGAGGACTCTCGACCTGTCTATCGAGACATGCGGGCATGAAACGCAACATCCCCAGGCAAAAGGGACGTCAGTACAAATATTGTACCGAGTATGTAAGGAATGAAAATCAGTAAATAATAGACATGAGAGAAACATGGAGTAAAAGACTCGACATGTACGTGTGCATAGCTCTGTGAGTCATTTCATTTTTTTATAATGTCATGCATTTGCTTATAAATATCATACCATGCATAGGTATATGCGTTCATAGCATCATCAAGCCTATGAGGGCATCCCATCATATCATTTCGGCTACTGTGGGCAAATCATCAACGTATACCTGTTGATCAGGTGGTGGTGCGTATATAACGCCATAACCTTTTTCCATATCCCATATACATATAATATACGCGTATATAATGCCATCTGGTCATGGGTCAATGTACATGTATAAAGGCATGAAATGCATAAGAAATACGCTAATAAGATTTTCTCGGAATGTCATAAAAATAATATGCCTGTCGGATAAATTTTATCAAATATGTATTTTTATGATACCCATGAATAGAAGATATAATAATAATTCACATGGGGAATCAAGAATGTAGACACCCCTAATATTTCTATGAATAGATTCATTTATGGAAACTGTGCTTTTGCTCATTTCGTTTGTGTCATATAGATCATGCCAAAAGAAAAGAAGGAAAAACCTTAACATACCTGGAGTAGGTGGAAAATCCGTATGATTTTCTTGGAAAAGGTTACACCGTACTCCTTTAGAACCACAAAATTCTTATGTTTCTATGATTTCAATAATTCTCGTTGGAATTATTTTGTCGCAAGAAATATTTGTTGAAACTTGCTAGATTATAGCGTCTGTTTGAATGTTTGAATTTAGGAAGATGTTATAAGGTTTATTTCAGAAACTTGCTAGATTATAGCGTCTGTTTGAATGTTTGAATTTAGGAAGATGTTATAAGGTTTATTTCAGAAACTTGCTAGATTGAGGGAGTCCGTCTGAAATGGTTGATTTTGGAAAAATGTTCTAAGATTTCTTACTTTGTTTCTTTAAGTCTAATGAAGCCAAAATGCTAAATGACTTACACGTTATGATGCCACCTTTCAATTAAGGTCATTAGTCACTTATCTTAAATGGAGGGCTGCCACATTTAGTCATTATAACATATATCCCTAATTAATTAGGTAATATCCCATTACCCAATAATTAACCAATTACTCACCTAATTAAGAATTATCTCAACTTACTTAAAATACTACTCACTTTTAATGCACTTTATGCATTTTACTATCATGGCCATGTGGTACCTTGTATGGTACTAGTCCATAAATACCGGGTATTATAGCTCTGACTGTATTTTATCCCAAATTGCCAAACTTCGATGAAATTTATTTTTTTTGATTTGCTTACCCTCACACCTTTACAAATTTACTTATAACTTATTTTAAATAACATGATACTTATAATCTCATTCCCGAACTTATGTTGCTTAACTTACAATGAAACTTTAACGTACGAAAAATGCGGGATGTAGTATCTCATTTCCGAGTTTTTATCAATTTAATTATGGCGTACTTTTACGTACAAAAATATGGGGTGTAACATCATTCCCCCCTTTGGAACATTCGTCCTCGAATGTTGACTGATGCACTTATCATTTTCATGACTTATGCCTTCCGATTACTTTAGTACTCCTCTTGCCATCTAGGCAATTGTTCTGTGAATGAATCCCAAAGCCAAGGCATTCCCTTCTTTCGGCCTCTTTCTCATACCATGACTTGTAGTCGGAATATTTTCAATCTCGTAACTGTTGCTACCTTCTATCATGCAACCTGCATGACTCTGACTTTGTAAGTGCGCCTATGCGACTCTTCGCTTCTCTTTCCTCCAGCTTTTAGCCAATCTCTAGGCTTCACTTTGTGAACATATACAAAATTATGTCAAGCTGTCCCTCTAGCTTCATTAGCTTTGAGCCATACTATACCATAATTCTTACTACGATTTATCATTGCGGAGGTCTACTACCAAATTCCAGCTTACTCTTGTTGCTTATCCTATATGTATAAATCTAAGTCCTTTAATGCTTCCTCATTTCTGTTCATCTTAAAAATGATGACCTAATCCCACTGGGATTCATGATTAGGCTCCTCGACCATTGAAGGTTCATAAGGATGAGATGACTCAGGTTCAACATCACTATAAGATTGCCAAGTCGAACCCTAGCTAATATTGGGCCTAACTATATCAAGAATCATTCGTCGGTATGGATTCTGATATCCAAATTCTGGTTGAGCACCACCATTCAAATTACTACTAGAAGACAACTCATTAGTTAGACGTCTTTCCCCTTGATATATCCAAATAAAATAATTCTGAACAAATCCAAATTGCAAAAGGTGTAATCTAACGGTTTCAACATCCATGTATTTAATGTTGTGACATTTTTTATACGGACATCTAACATTGTCACCACTCATGCGATTTCGTTGAGAACACGTAAAGTGGAAAAACATTTCCACACAGAATTAATACCCCTTCGTCCATCCAGCTTCTCATACATCCAACCACGCTCTAGATTCTCCATTTTCCTATTTAATATTGAAATTAAAAAGACAAGTAGATATTATTATTTTTTGATAAGTAATAACACAAGAATAGAGTTAAGAAAAGATATACTTAACCTTACCAAACACCCGGTACTACCTTTTAATGAACGAAGGAAAGAACTCAAAATATATGGCAGTAACAAAACTCAAGTAGTTATTTTTATTTTATAACCCATAAATGATTAAAGAAAAAGAATATCACAGATACATCAGGAAGCTAATGTAAGATTAAATAGATCACAAACGTATTAGAAATCTAATGTACATCAGAACATCACAAATACATCCCTAACAGTCATTATATATAAACAATCTCAAATACATAAGAACATCACAAATACATTAAAAAGCTAATGTAAGCTATGTGAACATTTAGACAATTAAAAATTTATCTCGCATCCCAGGCTGTGACTATATGTAACCATTTGTGAAAAAGTTAAAAGTCTAAATAACATTCATATTTCATTTTAAGAAAGAGCTAATAAGAACAAGAAAAGGAGGAGAGAGAGAGAGAGAGACAGAGAGAGTGACAATATAGTATATGTCAAACAAAATAAATTAATACCTATGTAAACGTTTATAGAAAGATACCAATACCTTAACTAGTCTATCAGAAAGCTTTGGGATTGTTTCGTTCCTTTTCCTGAAATGAAGCTGAGCAAACATAAATTTAGTTATACTACAAAAGAAATAGATTACCACATAGATTTATTTTGTAATATGAATAACCACAAAGGTACAGATGCAAAAATTTACACAACTCATATGTCAAGGAAATAGAAAAAACTAAAAATACAAATCAGTAATCCAATTCAAAAATTGAAATTGAAATTCTCAAACACAAAGTATGATGATTATTGAGTTATTCAAGCTTCTCCTCTCAAACATGGTGTGGGCAATAAATTTGTGTCGAGAAAATAAAATCAAGACTGAAAAATAATACAACGATCGTAGTATTTGATTTCAAATAATATGAGTGTACAATATCTATGAAACCTCTGATTCAACTTTTTAACAGTAAATAAAAGAACCTTCGAGCTTAATCTTGAATTTTATTTTATTTTAATCCAAGTGCTTGAGGCCTGATCTTGATCTTGACGTATTTTTAATCCAAGGGCTTGCAGCTTGATCTTGAGTCTTCGTCTTGATCTTTTAATCCTTAGAACACTTGAATACTTGTGGCTTTTAGAGAAATCTATAACGTTTGATCTACGAGCTCTGTTTTGCTTCTTGTTATAACTTCTGGTGTCTTTTCTGAGTTATGAAGACCCCTATTTATAGTTGTGGGAGGGAAGAGTTATGATAAGAACAAACTCTTTCCGACCAATCAAATTGAAGTGTGACAAGGCCGCATTTGATTGGTCAGAACATGTCACTTGCACACGTGGCGCGATTTCATTGGCTTTTTAATGTGACTTGGCATGTAATTTCATTTTTACACGTGGCATGATCCTATTGGCTCTTCCGCTTGACTTGGCGTGCCACGTAATTTCACGTGTGGCACCAAACCGGGCCTCTAGGAAGATGATATCTTGGGCCTAATAAAATGGGCTCATCATTTGTAGCCCAACTAAAAGGGACAGCCCAATGAATTTGAACCTATTTATTTAATCTATATATATTGAACTTATATAATTAATCCAATTATATTAGCCCATATTTTATTTGGACTAGTCTAATTAAAATATAATCCAAATTTTTATTGAATTTGAATCCAATAAATTTTACATGCCTACACATGGATTAAAATAAACTTTAAGCTCCAAATAGTATTACCCAATAAGTTTTAGCACAAGCAAAATTTGAGTTTCAATTTTCAGTAGATTTATGGCTCTAAGTAGAGTTTTCCAGCACTTCACCTTGAAGAAATTGGGAACCACGCAGATCTTAGGACGCCTAACTTCGATTTTAATCACCAAATATTACCAAAATTGGTATTAATCAAGAGTTCAACACAAAAGAAACCCCAAATAAGATTTTAGCAACAGTAAGTAGTAAATATAATACATATTTATGCACAAATAAGACATACCCAGAATATGTCAACTCCTACTTCATATTTAACTTCACATACTACAAAGAAAAAGAGGGAAGAGGCGTTTTTATTTTACATATACCAAAACCCTAAAATATTTATCGTAGAAAAATTGCTAATGAACAGAGAAAGAAGTAGAGACATACCTGTCTTTTAGAAAAAAGATGATCTAGGAGCGCATCTGGGAAGATTAGTGGAAGATTGGAGGAGAAGGAGGAAAGGGGCTCATTACTCATGCTGTATTCTTCTGTGAGGGAGAAATTATTTTTTAGTCTTATGAAAAACAAGGTAAAGATAACAACAAAACTTATTTTGATCCAATTTGTTTTTCTAAATACCCAGCGACAAAAACATTCCGTTGCAACAAATGTAAATATACTCTCATTAATGAAGCAAGATTAGCGACATACAAAGTCCGTCGCTAAATCCGTCGCTAATATGTAATAAATTTTGTCATCCAAATTTCCTCGCTTATTTTGTTTCTAAAATGTGGGCGCCAATTTTTAGAGATGGATTTTTCGTTTTGTCGCTAAATTAGATACTAGTTCTTCTATTTACCTTTTCTGCAATAAAACTCTATTTCAGTAGTTAATATGTCGCTACAGATTAATGTTTGTCGCAGAAATCCGTCGCTAAATCGAGTTTTTTTTTGTAGTGACTCTACAAGGCTAAAAACGATCCTCCAAAACTCATCTGATCCCATCGGCTCCGATTCGAACATTCACACAAGTATAATAACATTATAAAAACCCGCTCGCAAGCTCAAATCATCAAAATAACATGAAATATCAAGATTTGATCTTCAAAACTCAAGATTTTCAACTTTGAAAGTCAATTTTTTAATTTTTCACATAATATGCCAAAATGCCATGGGGTCACCCGGGACTCCAACCAAACATGCGTATAAATCCAAAAATATCATACGAACCTATTGAGATCATCTAAATACCGATTCGAGGTTGTTTACCAAGAACGTTGACCATGGTCAACTCTAGTTGTTTTTAAGTCAAATATCACATTTTCATTAAAATTTCACATATAAGCTTTCCGAAAAATGACACGAACCACACACGCAAGTAATAAATCTCCAAATAAATCTATGGGAGGTCTCGGAACACAGAAAAATGAGCTAGTACTCAAAACGAGCTATCAGATCGTCACATTGTATTCATTGGCTTTATTGATAATATGAGATATCGTAACACTATTATTAATATTATTTTCCATATTTGTATTCTTGTTTCCCCAAAGACTCCATAGAGCAAAAGGGAATAGCTGAGCCTATTTTATTCCTTTAGCTGATATAGTTGGGTTACAATTCATAATTATGTCAAGCCAATGAGGAACACTAGAGTTTGAGAAACTATTGAAAATATTTAGAGAGTGCCAAAGTCTCCTAGAAGTATGACAATGTAGGAAGATATGAGTAATATCTTCCTGGCCCGATCAACACATTGTACAGTCCTTATCAATATTCATTCCAATATGATTAAGATAGGCTCTACAAGGAAATTTATCATGGTAACACTTCCAAAGGATGAACTTTAGTTTTTTATAGGACAGTGTATTTTCCAAATCCAGTTGAAGTTTTTGTTAATATTATTGACATAATCAATGAGTTTATAGCAAAAGACAGTTGTAACGACCCGAATGGCCATTTTGAGCAATAGTACTTCGTTCGACAGTTTGAGACTTTGAGTAGCTTCATATTATGCATTATGACTTGTTTGTATGGTTGGTTTTGATTTTCGAGAGGTTTGGAGTTGATTTGGAAGTGTAATTCTCAATTTGGAAGCTTTAAGTTGGAAAAGTTGACCAAGGTTTGACTTTTGAGTAACCGTCCTTGGAATCGGGATTTGATGATTTCAATAGGTTTATATAGTGATTCGTAACTTGGGAATATATTCGTATTTGAGTTTGGAAGCTCCTAGAATGTTTCATCTCTATTTGTCAAAGTTAACAATTTGAGGATTTGGAGAGTTCACAAGTTTGATCGGGAGTTGACTTTGAGGCTATCAGGGTCGGATTATTGTTTCGAGAATTGGAATAAGTCAGTTTTGTCATTTGGGATTGGTGTACAAAATTTGGGTTCATTCTGGATTGGTTAGATGTGAATCAGACATTTGGTTTGAAGTTGAAAGTTTATGAACTTAAGAGAATGATCTTGTTGAGGATTATTAGTTTTGATGTTAATTATGGTATTTTGAGCCTCCAGATAAGTTTTGATAATGTATTTAGACCTCTTGGTATGATTGGACGGGGTTCCGAGGGGCTCGGGGTGTGATCTGGGGTAGTTTCAGACCATTTTGGTTGTATTGCATTGTTGATTCCTGGTGCTGTTCTAGTGTGCTTCGCAGTCATGATCAAAGTATCACATTCACGTAGAATGTTTTGGGCTGCAGGTGATTTAATCATCACGTCCGCGATGATGTTCTCGCATTCGCGAAGTATTATGGAGGTTGACAGTCATGATGTTTGTGAAGTCTTGGAGAAGGCTGGTTAGTAGCCTTTCACATTCGAGCCTGGTCTCTCACATTCACACAGTTGAGAGTCTAATTGGCCTTCGTGTTTGCTCAGTGCATAACGCATTCATGACAAAGGGTTCAGGTGTGGGTGGTTTTGAGTAATGACCAAATCGTTTGTTTTGCTTTCTAGATCCCCATTCCGCTAATTAAAATTTATCATATGTGTTTTTCCTATTTTATGATTTGCGGGGACGGTTGATTTGATTTTGGAAGGGTTCGGGTTGAATTCGAAATACTTAGTTCCATAATAGTGTCCTAAGCAAGCTAAGTTTGACTTGAGTCAATAATTTGAGTAAACAACCACGGAATTGGGATTTAAGGGTTCCAATAGGTTTGCATGATGATTTTGGACTTGGGCATACGTTTGGATCAAGTTTCGGCTGGACCGGGAGCGTTTCAACGCTTATTGTTGGAAGTTGGCATCTTTAAGGTTTTGGAGTTTTCTAAGTTTGAATTTAAGTAGACTTTGGTGTTATCGATATCCGTTTGGGATTCCGAGCATTAGAATTGGTTTGTATAGTGATTTGTAACGTGCGTAAAATTTAGCATCATTTCGAGTTGTCTAAGCATGATTCATTGCGTTCGGAGTTAGTTGGAAGAAGTTTGAAGTTTAGAAGTTGATTAATTTGGTTTTGAGGTGAGATTCTTGGTTTTGATGTTATTTTACGTATTTCAAGACTTTGAATAGGCCCGTAGTATTTTTACGGAATTGTTGATACATTTGAACGGGGTCTCAGGTGGCGCGAGTAAGTTTTAGACCACCCGGAGCAAAGTTGAAGTTTGCAGATTTTACTGGTTTACTTCGCGATTATGAAGGGTCTTCCGTGATCGTGAAAGAGGCTGTTAGAGGGGTCATAGTTTTTCTCTTCGCTTACGCAAGGAGGGACCCGCGAACATGAGGAGGATCCTACAAACACGATGGAGGACCTGGTTCTTCTTTACGAAGGCGAAGTTACCTTTGCGAACGCGAAGAAGGTTGAGGCAAGGGGAAGCTGGAAGGCATTTAGACTTCATAAACACAGTTTTTGGACCACGAAAGCGGAAGGATGGGGGTAAGTGCGCCATGAATGCGATCTAGGTGTCGTGAACGCAAAGAGGAAAACTGAGCTGAGGCAGTTTGGTCTTCGCAATCACGAGGGACTTTTCTCGATCGCGATGAAGATATCCTTGGGAAAAACATGTTTTTAATACGGGACTTAGGTTCATTTTTTGACACTTTTCATTTGGCTTGGGAGATTTTGGATATATTTGGATGGGGATATTATTCAAGCATCATAAGTTTCGGGTTGCTCGGCATTGGTTTAAGGCAGATAGTGAGGTTTGAGAGCCGAGTAGTGGACTTGAAAGCGAGGTAAGTCTCTTGCTTAATCTTGAAAGAGGAAAATTATCCCCGTAGGTATTTTAATTATTGTGTGCTCTTTGTTATGGGTGCTACATACGTACGAGATGACGAGAATTCGTGCGTAGTTAGATTCATGTTTATGTCCGGGTAGACTTAGATCCACACGATGCCTTAAATGTACTATTTCAATTAAGCTTGTTTGTTTGATTCTTTGAATTTATGATTGCGATTGAGACTAGAATAAATAAATTGACCGAGTCTCTTACATAGATATTGTGAAATATTTGATATTTCTATGGATTCTCGACTCACACGTATCTTCGCGAGTGAGTTTCATTACTCTTATGGGATCAGGCTGTTCGCCTCAGCATGCTTGTTAGTTACTCTTATGGGATTGGGCCGTTCGCTTCGGTTGGATTGTAAATTACTCAAATGGGATTATCCGTTCGCCTCGATAGTATTGTAAATTACTCTTATGGGATCAGGTTGTTTACCTCGACGGTATTGTGTAATACTATTCTTTGGGATCGAGCTATTCACTTCGGAAGACTCGCGCGTAATACTTGAGATTTGATTTGGTATTGGTATCAATTGATTTTATGCCTTCGAGGGAGGTTATGGTATTTAGTGATTTTGTTATAATTCTTGTTTGGGAATTTTATTATTGATATTTATCTGTCTCGTTGCTACTTGTTGTGTTTCATACATATCTACTTTATGTACTTTATTATTTGACCACTAGTAAGTGTTAAAGTCGACCCCTCGTCACTACTTCTTCGAGGTTAGACTTGATTTTTACTGAGTACGCGTTGATTTACGTACTCATACTACAATTCTCCACTAATTGTGCAAGTACTAAGACAAGTACTTCAGGTGGTCCTTCGAGCACATAAACGCACTACCCAGAGACTTAGTGGGGGAGATGTTCTCCATGTTTTGATCTGCAGCACCCGAAGTCTCCTTCATATCATGTTTATTATTTTTCTCTTTTATTTTAGACAATAATTGTAGTGGTTTTGTATATTATATTAGATTGCTCATGCACTTGTGACACCTGATTTAGGGGGACCCCATGGATGTTCACAGTTGTACCTAATATTATTATCACTTTGCTTGATGTCTTATTCATACTCTGTGATTTGGTAAGGAAGAATGTTTGTTTTCCAGATTTCTAGATTTAATTCCATTTATTTAATGAAACTCTTGATTTCAAAAATTAAAAATGGATAATTTGGAGGTTTACCGTTGGTTTGCCTAACGGCACTGTCGGGCGCCATCACGGCCTATGGTAAGAATTGGGTCGTGACAGCTTAGTATCAGAACACTAGGTTCACATAGGTTTCACGAGTCATGAGTAGAACTAGCAGAGTCTTGCATATCGGTGCAGCGATGCCCATACTTACTTATGAGAGGCTATCGTGCATTTGATGTTGTGTTAAGTATCTTTCTCTTATTCAATCACAGATGGTGAGAACGCATGCGACGATGTTACCTGACGGCAAATGGGCTGTTCCCTAATCGCCATCGCCAGAGGTAGAGGTAGACGCCGAGGGAGGGC